CTAATTAAGGGTATTTTAGGGATTTTACCCTAACCCGTGATTAATTGCCACGTTAACAGTTGTGTGGCTAAATATCATTTGACGTATTGGTCGGCACCTCTTAACGGAAGAATAAAAGTAGAGAATTCAGAGAAAACATAGGGAAATTGGAAGAAAAAAAAAGAGAAGAAGAAAGAAAAAAACAAACAAACAATTAAACAGATCACACCGCTCCTCCCTAACAGAAATCCTGAAATTATTAGAAGGCTTGTGAAGGGAGAAAGGAAATCAAGGCAACAAATCAACATCCAAATTAATTGAGGTATAGTCTCCTTTCAATTTCATAGTAAATCTTAGTAAATTGAATCAAATTTGAATGAATAAGGAAGTTAACTTGTTATAAATGTAAAATAAAGGAATCTAGGGTTTGCAAAAGGACTTTTCTTATGTGTTTATTATGCATGAAACAAACTAGAAAAAAAAAGAAAGAAAAGAAAAATAGACTAACCCTAGTTCGGTGAGGTCTGACACCGGCCATCCCTAGCGCCGCGATCCTTGCTGTCGTGTGACGTGCATGTTTTGGCGAGACATGAAAGAGAAGAGAGAGGATGAGAGAGTAGAGAGAGAGAGAACGGATAGACGAGACGAGAGGAGAGAGAGAGAGAGAGAGAGATATGGAGCAGAGAGAGAGGAGAGAGAGACGAGACGAGAGAGAGAGAGGAGAAAACGAAAGAAAAAAAGAGGAAGAGAGGGAACCGGCGAAAAAAAAGAAGAAAAAAAAAAAGAAAGGAACGAAGAAGAGGTGGGAGGAAGGATGTCTGTTGAAATGATGTAAGGACGAGGAAAATTTGCTCTTAAGCCCCCCTGCAACTCATGCAAAAATTTTTGAAACAGACCTTAATAATGTGAGTTTAGTTGAAAAGCGACTGCGAAAATATTTATTAGCCCCTGTCTTTCTGTTGCAGTCGTAACCAAGGTCAATATGAGGGAATAAACAATAAACTTGTTTAGAACTTGAATAAATTCCCTGATAACCCCCTGCATTATATAAGTTACTAGAAAGCCAAAAAGGCTAGTATATGAGAGTTATAAAAATCTTGATAAATTGCTAAACTAACAATAAGCTCATATGACGAACTGAAGAATTTAATCATTATTGATTGTATTTGATATTAGGCTCTAGTATGAATTGATTACCTATAATATTACGTTTTCTGAAGTAATATTACGTCATTATATCGTTACATTATAGGTTTCTGGTCTGATATTCGGGAGACTAATATTTGTTGTAGAAATGTGACCACAGGAGGTTGCAGCTTCATTTCTCACTAGTACTTTATAAATTGAAATTGCCATGCAGTTTTACATTTGAAATGTATCTTGTGATTAAAAATAACCTAATAAATAATATGTCTTTTACATGTATTAGAAAGATTTTGACCTATTTCTGTTGTGGTCTATCCATATAATATGATGGCTAGCCCCGTCGTAACAGATATATGAAAAGTCAAATTGGAATTTATGTAAAAGATGGAAAATTAAATTGGGCTCTCGTGCAATTTTCAAATAATTGTGGAACTGTGTTATATCTGAAAGTTTTTGATGAAATATTAATGGAACGTTTTTCAACCGTTTAACGGATTCAAAGATTTGCCGTAACTTAGTATCTGATAAAAGAAAAAGTAAATATATGTAATCTGCTTTAACTGAAATGAGTAGCTTTACCTTGTCAATTTCATTTGAAATATATGCAAATTTTGATATACAAAGTATTTCTCATTTGACATGTGATCTCGATGTTTTCAAACCCTCAAATAGTCCACTATGGATTGGTTCTGCCTGCCATATGGTGAATGCACTTTTATTTGGCCCTTCTGTATTTGGCCTTGGCCCTTCTGTATTGGCCCTTCTGAAATATGTTCTGGCCCCTCTGTATTTGGCCAGTAGCCTATGGCAGTGTTAGGTGCATTCGGTTCCCGGGAATTATCTGTTATCTGATGCGGTTACGCATTCCCTTGCTACTGGGCTAAAATTCGTAGCCTTAGTGTGACCTATGGGGTGACTTTTATGTTCATGAAATAACTCATCGAGAAATAAGATTCTGATAATTTGGCTGTGAAATTGAGAAAACAATAATTCTCTGATTTGGCACAAATTAGTAGTTCTTTTCCTTCTTAATGTTTACCTTGATTCAAAAAGGGTTTAATTCCAAGAAATTTCACAGTTTATTCAGTTGCACATGAGAAAGGAAATAAAATTGTTGTATTCTTTCTTAAAAATGACAGTATTACGATATTTGGATAGTAGTTTGCTATCTGTGAATTTCTCATGCAAAACTTGAAATTTGTTAAATTCTAAGAACTATTCTTATTACTATTTTGTTAGTTATCTAGGAACTCTAGTGGGAAATGTTCTCACTGAGCGTTAGCTCACCCTGTTGTTTTTAAATATTTTTCAGATCCGGCGTAGCTTCCTATTAGCCGACTTTTGGTTTGAGCTTTTGGCTGAGAGGCGTTATATGGAGAGCCTCTTCTTGTTGATGTTACATTTAGCATATTTTGTTTTGTTTTGTAAAAATACTTATAGCGGTAAGCTTGTGGGCTGTAAGTACCAATCATATATATATAGTTGCTCTGATTTCTATCATCAGCAGGTTTATGAATATTTTGAAAATAAACTATGCGATATGATTTGCCAGGCTTGACTTGTGCATAAGACTTGTCTCGTGCACGGGTCGCTGCTGTCGCGTACCCCGTGTTTTATGATATTCCGCTGTAATTTCGGGGCGTGACAGTATCAATAATAAAAGCAAACCAATATCCTTAAAACTAAAAGATACCCTTAACAACTAACTGGTAATCTTCATAACTAATTAGTAACAACTAGAATGCTTACCCCATGCAGGGAAGAATATTCAAGTCTTCTAACCAAATGTGATCAAATTTTGTCTTCTAGCAGCTTCATACTGTGAGCCATAGTCATTCAAGTCCTCTATAAGGGGGATTATCTTCAGGAGTGACTCCTCTACCATGGTCTGAAGGAACGGAAGCAAGCTAAAGATGAAAGGAGTGAAGAGGCCAGATGAAAAGGACAGAGCTTGGATTCCTCTTAGATGTAGTCTAATTTGGGGTTAGGGTTTTGATTTGGGTTTGGGCAATTTAGGTCTGGGAGAGATGAAGAGATGAGAGCAGAAACGATTTATGAGAAAAGGAATTGAGTGAGGACGGTAAAATCAAAGGGCATTTTGGGTTTTCTTAAACATCGGTCATGTGTGAAGCAATTTAGGGGGTGAAAGGATCACAAAATGTACTTTAAGGTGTTAAAGCATTTCATTTAGTATTTTAGGGGCTACAATTATTTTTCCCTAACGATAGTTTGCTTGATTTGGACGTTTGATTCTAGAAAAGTGGCACTTATAAATCATGATGTGCTCTTGGAAAGTTGTGTTTTCTATTTCATCTAGTTTACACTTTCTAGTATAAATCTTTTTGTTTCGCTGGGATTTTTTGTTATAAGGGATACAACAATATTTTAAAAGTGTAATCAAATACGAAAAAAAGTTGAGAAAGTTAACTTCGAATCTCACAATTTAACAACATAAAAATAGATGCAACCAAACAGACCCTAACGCTTAAATGAGACTTCAATTAGTGTGAGTCATGTAAAATACAATGTCAATTTAGAATGCTGTGAAGTCTCTTTCTTTATCTCCAAGCTTGGACATGCATCATTTATACGAATCACTTTTGTCTTCTGGGCAAAAAATTTAAAAAAATTGCAAGTCTCCCTTAAAAACATACTTTTTTGCATATACATTACCTTTCAAATCTTTCATATTAGTAAAATTACCCTCAAATCTTGATATTTGTAAACTTACCCTTGAATTCTCTCATATTGAGTTTTTCTAACCCTCCCAACTCAACAGTTGTAGTTTCCAAACGAGAAGTATTGCAAACATATTGAAAATTATTGGAAAATTTAGATATTGCTCTATTTAGAAACCATTGTTGTTAAATTAAGGAGTGAAAATCCAATAAGACAGAGTTGGAGGGTAGTTTTGCAAACATGTAGAGTTAGGGAGAAAATTTACAAATATAAAAGATTTGAGTGGTATGTATGCAAAAACCTAAAAAAATAATCCAAGAGGGCCGCAACTACATAAGCCATGACGTTCTGATATTTTGACCCAGCTTAACATGTAAATGTTTTTTTGAAAACATGAATAGCCCATATTTTTCTCGAGCCCATGAAAAGACCCCCCAAAATGAAGTATCAACCACGCAGTTTTCCTGTAGAGTTGCCACAAAACAAAAGTCATTGACATTATATCTAAACTCACACTAATTCAATAAATTCTGACACAAACTCCTAAAATTGTACTTCACCAATCTAAAATTATATCCTTGAAAATCATCTTATATTTTTAATTTATTTATAAACCATCTTTAAAGTTAATCTTTATGAAAGTCAACCACCTCTTAGTTAAATTTTTACTAAAAAATAAAAAATAAACTTAAAAATAATATAAGTTCAAGGTACGTGAATTGTATCCTAACAACACCATAATAGTAAAAAAATCAGTTATATACCTTAAATGTGAGTTTTTTAAAGATAATTTTTAAAATTTTAGTAAAAATTTTAACTAAAAGGTGGTTGAATGTAAAAAAAATTAATAATTTATGCATAAATTAAAAATAAAAAATGGTTTCGGTGATCATCCTATTTAAGGTGGTTTCTATGAGAAACTCGATTTAATAATACAAGGATAAAAACCCCAGGACGCACCTTTGAAGCCGGCTAATACCAAGTCCAATTATGAAACTTTTCAAAGGCCCATGTTGACTGGCCAGCGAGTCAACTCCAGAGAGTCCAGATTCCAGAACGCGCCCTTGAGTCTTGACTCCCGCCGCCCGAAACCAACAAAAAAAGAAATACACGACGTAACTTCACAACATATAAGAGAACAGCGTGTTGCCACGTCATCACGTTTTAACTGGGTGAAGAAAATTCAGGTTCTTGTATATATTTTCTCTGCGTTCCCCTCATCGAGAAGCAAACGGAGAATCCAGACGGTTTGGATACAGCCTCAAATTTTCTGAGATTGAATGAGCAGATTTGCGACGGCGAGAATGGCGGAGGGAATTAGCAGAGGATCGGCGGTGCCGGAGGCGACTGCGGCGGCGAAATCTTCGTCGTCGTCGAGATGGAGCTGGCCTTCGTTGCTCCGGTGGATCCCGACCTCCACCGATCACATCATTGAAGCGGAGAAGAGATTGCTCTCGATCGTCAAGTGAGTCAAAAATCGAGTTTTGATCTGATTTCGAGGTTCAATTTTTCGGAGGTTTTAGCTTTCCTCCTTTTGTTATTACAGTTTTCAGATTGATGCTTCGTTGATCGATTTATGCAGTCGTTTTCGACTAAATTTTGTTGGTATAGTTTTTGGTCGGTAAAGAGGACGTGAATGTAAAAGAAAAGTGAACACATGATGATTGAATTCGATAGAAAACTATGAAGAATAATTTATTGAAATTAAACTTGATTTTGGATCAAGCTTAATTTTGGGTTTATGATGGAATTATTCTAAGTTTGACCAAACCTAAAATTAGGTCCAAATTCTAGAGGTTTTCTAGAAACACTCTAGAAGGTTGATCACCTCCTTAAAGTGTTCTAGAGAAATCTCTAAGCTAAATATCTAGATAATAGTATAGAAACATCTAGAAAATTTGTGATAAAAATATTTAGATATTATGTAGAAATTTTTAGAGATTAGAAAAATATCTAGGAACTATGGAGGTGATATTAAAAGAATCTAGATCCTTTGTAACATATCTTTGGGAGGCTATAAATACCTCCTCACCTCTCTCATTTGTAAGTAAGAAGAAAAAGTTGAACAAGTGAATAAAGCAAGTTCAAATAAAGAGTCTTCCTCTTCATAAGTTCTCTACATTTCTCTAAAAGTCTTTCAAGTGTTCTCTAAGTGTTCTTCATATTCTTCTTCATACTTAGAGGTTTATTCTCCTTGGTTTCTTTCGGGTTTCTCAGGTATTACGGTCTTGGGCTAGTGCTAAGCACTATCGGTGTTATCTTTACATGGTATCAGAGCCATTCTAATCTTGTGCTCTTCAAGATCGGGGTTTAAAGAGAGCTCGGGTTTACTCTAAGTATGGAATCAATGGGTCGTGTCGTTGGATTGGGAATGGAGATCTTAAACCAATCTAACTACCGGTTATGGAAGTCATGTATGGAGTCATACTTGGTTAGTGAGTACTTATGGGATGTCGTCGGCGGTAGCAGCACAACACCACCAAGGGGAGATGCCGTAACAGCGGAAGCGACAAAGGAGTGGACACGGAAGAATGCCAAGGCGGAGTTTGCTTTGAAAAGGTCAATATCTTCAGGACTATTTGAGCATGTCTCAAGATGTACATCCGCAAGTACTATTTGGCAGGCACTAGATCAATTGTTCAACAAGAAGAACGAGGCTCGTCTACAACTGTTAGAGAACGAGTTAGCGAATGCGAAGCAGGGGGAGTCTTCAATCTCAGAGTTTTTCATCAAGGTAAAAAATCTTTGCTCTGAGATTAATACTCTCAATCCGGAGGAGTCGATTTCGGAAGCACGGTTGAAGCGGTCTATTATTCGTGGTTTACGACCCGAATATACACCGTTTGTTACTTCAGTTCAAGGATGGGCTACACAACCTTCCTTGGAGGAGTTTGAAAATCTACTAGCTTCGCAAGAATCACTAGCAATGCAAATGGCGGGAGTTAAAGTCCATGATGACTCGGGGAGCGCTTTTGTAGCGGGGATACAACAAAGCTTCAGAGCCAAACCCAAATATGGTAATGTGAAGAATAATGATGGACGAGAAGGATCTTCTACGGGAGACAAGAAGCGATTCAAGTGTTATCGGTGTGGAAAACTTGGGCATTTCAAAAGGATTGTCGAGTCAAGCTGAAGGAAACAAATATGATGGAATCAAAGGGTCATACTGAAGACAAAGAATAGGAAAAATGTTTCACGGTGGAGGCTGCATCTTCAGGTACATCCACAGCTAAAAATCTTGGAAATGATTGGATTGTGGATTCTGGTTGTAGCCATCATATTACCGGAGACGAGAAGTTATTATTTAGTCTTCAGCGTCATGACGGGAAAGAAGCCATCATTGCTGCGGATAATTCAATCTACCGCGTTGAGAAGGAAGGGACAGTCGTTATTGAAGGAGATGATGGAAGCCCAATCACTCTCAAGAACGTATATCATGTTTCTGGAGTAAGGAAGAATCTTCTCTCTGTGGTGAATGCGGTTGACTCAGGTAACTACGTTTTATTTGGCCCAAGAGACGTTAAATTCTTAAAGAATATTAAAGAATTAAAAGCGGACGTGGTTCACACCGGAGCACCGGTTAAGGATTTATATGTTTTATCGGCCTCAAATTCTTATGTTGAGAAGATAAGTACGAATGATAATACCTTTATATGGCGTGCTAGGCTTGGTCATATAAATATGACTAAGCTAAAGGTTATGGTGAAAAAGGATTTGGTTAACGGGCTCCCAAAGTTGAAGATTCATGATGAAGGAAAGCTTTGTGAAGGCTGTCAATATGGAAAGTCACATAGGCTTCCATTTGACAACTCCATTTCACGATGCAGCGCTCCGTTGGAGAGGGTCCATAGTGATTTGATGGGTCCGACGAGAACATCCTCCTATTCTGGGTTTCGGTACATGTTACTGTTTGTTGATGACTTCTCACGGTACACTTGGGTATACTTTGTGAAGGAAAAATCAGAAGTATTCTCCAAGTTTCAAGAATTCAAGGTTACCGTGGAGGGAGAATTAGGTCAGAAGATCAAGACTTTAAGAACGGATAATGGAGGGGAGTTCATGTCAAAGGAGTTTCTCTCTTTTTGCCAAAAACATGATATCAAGAGAGAATTTACATGTCCGTATACACCTCAGCAAAATGGAGTAGCGGAAAGGAAGATAAGACATCTAAGCGAGACATGTAGAAGCTGATTACATGACAAAAATTTACCTAAGGCCTTATGGGCGGAAGACATGAGATGTGCAGCGTATGTCATTAACCGGATGCCATGTGCAGCGTATGTCATTAACCGGATGCCACTTAGTCCGAACAATATGAAGTCTCCTTATGAGATGGTTCATGGGAAGAAACCAACGGTGAAACATCTCAGGATATTTGGATCAATCTGTTACGTCCACGTGTTTGACTCTCAAAGAACCAAGTTGGAGGTAAAGGCGAAGAAATGCATCTTTGTCGGCTATGATGAACAAAGGAAGGGCTGGAGGTGTATGGATCCAGAGACACACAGGTACACCGTATCTCGTGATGTTGTCTTTGATGAAGTTTCCTCATTTTATGGGTCACCTCAAGTCTTGGTCGAACAAAAAGGTGGGGGTTCCTCCAAGATCGATGAACCAGTTGTTCAAATACCAAGTGAAAGTGGAAGTCTTGAAGAAGAGACGCAAGGTGAAAGGGGGAGCACTGATCAAGAGGAAGATGAGGAAGAAGATCGTAGTTCCATGGCTAATCAACGGCCAAAAAGGAACATTGTTAAGCCTGCTCGGTTCAGAGATGAAAGGTTTGTCACTACTTACTCATGCTACTTTGCAGCTCCATTAGATGAAGAGGAGCCATCATCGTATGATGAAGCAAAAGGAGTTCAAGAGTGGGAGGGCGCAATGAAGGAGGAGATGAATGCTCTCATGAAGAACGAAACTTGGGATTTGGTTCCAAAACCCAAAGATGTCCAACCCGTTTCTTGTAAATGGGTGTACCGAAGTAAGCGAAAAATAGATGGGAGCATTGACAGATTTAAGGCAAGGTTGGTTGCTCGAGGGTTCTCTCAAAAATATGAAGAAGATTATGATGAAACTTTCAGTCCAGTAGGAAAGATGACTACGGTACGCTCACTTTTATCTTTAGTCGCAAGCTTTGGTTGAAAGTTATGACAACTAGATGTGAATAATGCTTTTCTATACGGAGAGCTTGATAAGGAAATCTTCATGGAGCAACCGCTTGGTTTCAAGTCACGAGAGCATCCTGATTATGTCTGCAAGCTTAAAAAGGCTTTGTACGGGTTAAAACAAGCTCCTCGAGCTTGGTATGGAAAGCTTGCTCAATTCCTTCAGTTTTGCGGGTGTGTGCCATCAAATTCTGATCCGAGTCTATTCTTCAAGAAGAATGGAGGAGTCCACGTGGTGGTTCTTCTTTATATGGATGATATGATCATCACCGGGAATGATGATGCTGAAATTGCTCGTCTACAAGAGGATATGTCGGTGAGGTTTGAGATGAAGAAGTTGGGTGAGTTGAACAATTTTCTTGGTTTGGAGGTCGAAAGGGTAAATGATGGAATATTTGTCGGCCAACAAAGCTACGCAAGAAGGATTGTTGAAAGGTTCGGAGTACACGAAGGGAAGACACGTACTACTCCGATGGACGTGAACATAAAGCTTAAACGCGATGAAGGGTCCTTGCTACCTGATCCTCGACCTTATCACTCTCTTGTAGGAAGTCTTCCATACTTAACCATTACAAGACCTGACCTTGCCTTCGCGGTGGGTCTCGTAAGTCGGTTTATGCAAGAACCAAGGAAGCCACATCTAGAAGCGGCAAAGAAGATTTTGAAGTATGTAAAGACAACTCTTGGCATGGGTCTGATGTACAAGTACAATGCCAAGGTTTCTCTTCATGGTTTCACGGATGCTGACTTTGGTGGAGATCTAGATGATCGAAAATCAACTTCAGGGTATGTGTTCTTATGTGGAGACACAAGTGTTTCGTGGTGCAGCAAGAAGCAAGCAACGGTGTCATTGTCTACCATTGAAGCGGAGTATAAAGCTTCAACACTCGCAGCTCAAGAGTGTATATGGCTTCGAAGACTCCTTGAAGATTTGTTGGAGCCAATCAATAAGCCGGTTGTAATTTATGGAGTTAATCAAAGTGCTATCAAGTTGGCTAATAATCCGGTGTTTCATGTAAGGACAAAGCATATCGAGTTAGAACATCATTTCATACGGGAGAAGATGCTTGATGGAACAATTAAAGATTTGGAGGTTCGAAGCGAAGACAACGTTACAGATATCTTCACCAAGTCACTACCAAAGGGCCAATTTGAGTTACTTCGCTCGAAGCTCGGGATGGTTGATAAAATCAAGTTTAATGGGGAGTATTGAAATTAAACTTGATTTTGGATCAAGCTTAATTTTGGGTTTATGGTGGAATTATTCTAAGTTTGACCAAACCTAAAATTAGGTCCAAATTCTAGAGGTTTTCTAGAAACACTCTAGAAGGTTTATCACCTCCTTAAAGTGTTCTAGAGAAATCTTTAAGCTAAATATCTAGATAATAGTATAGAAACATCTAGATAATTTGTGATAAAAATATTTAGATATTATGTAGAAATGTCTAGAGATTAGAAAAATATCTAGGAACTATGGAGGTGATATTAGAAGAATCTAGATCCTTTGTAACATATCTTTGGGAGGCTATAAATATCTCCTCACCTCTCTCATTTGTAAATAAGAAGAAAAAGTTGAACAAGTGAATAAAGCAAGTTCAAATAAAGAGTCTTCCTCTTCATAAGTTCTTTACATTTCTCTAAAAGTCTTTCAAGTGCTCTCTAAGTGTTCTTCATATTCTTCTTCATACTTAGAGGTTTATTCTCTTGGTTTCTTTCGGGTCTCTCGGGTATTACGGTCTTGGGCTAGTGCTAAGCACTATCGGTGTTATCTTTACATAATTCATGTAAAACCGAGTAAATTTTGGGATCAAGATTTGGTAAATTAGTAACTGATGATATTATGTAAAAATTTACTCATGAGGCTTAAATTTGGGCCAATCATCTTGTGAAATGGGGAGGAAGAGTAAGGAAGGCTGGTATCTTGACCACTTCTTGTCAATTAAGCTGACAGTGAATTAACCAACACATTAAAACATCTTTGCTTTGTAAATTTGTTCTTGTTACTAGTTCTCGCTATCCTCTGCATTGAGTCAAGAATGTGTGGTCTATTGTTTGTAGGCGGCATTCATCTCCAGCATTAAGCTAGTTAGGTAAAAAATAAAGGAGGTTTTGTGGAAAGAGAGGAAATAATACGACATACATGATACCTAGGTAGAAAAGGGGACTTGATCAAACCTTCCAAATTTCCTGTTCGTGCGAAGTTTCCCCTTTTCTTACTAGAAAATTACAAAGCAAGACCTCAGAAGTATTGGTTTTAATAAGTATCTTTTATGACTTTACTATCAACGCAGTTATAATTTGTAACTTAATCTGGAGACTGAATACGGCATATGCTAGCAGTTTGTTATGCTTGCGCGAGGATGTTGGACAATTAAGAAGTGACATGTTCAAAATTAAAAGTAGAAGCTGGAAATAAAATAAAAGACGAGGTTAGTTGTGGATAGATCCCTTGTACTATCGCTCAACTGTATATGGACCCTCTGTAGCTCTATTGTAGCTCTATTTCTGCAGATAGACCAGACCCCAAGTGAAATTTTGTCTCTTTTACCCTCGGAGAAAGAGAAATTTGTTTTTTTTTTGACAAATATACTTCCGTAGGTTAAAAGAGTCAAAAGTCACTTCACTCGGGGGTTTATATGCAACAATAGAACAACTAAGGACCTATTTGCAATTACAGAACAGTAGGGGGGTCTATCCGCTATCAACCCTAAACTATGTTATCTGGGTACTTCTAATATGGAGCCGTACCCGTAGCTGACATGTGCCGTACCCGTACCTGTATCTGACACTTCTTAGACACTTCTATAGATATGCATATATTTATTCTGACCTGCACTTAGTTATACAATGCATGTTTAATTTAAAAAACTTGTCATACACTTCTTGCATATATATCCGACACTTCACATGCATTTTTGTAACTTGTTGGATAAGGGTGAGTTCATTTTAGTCTTAATAACTACAATTTAAAAGTGTCATGTACATATATATCTTAAAAATAATGATTATATCCATGAGTTTCAGTAGCGTCCCCATAGCCTACCTTTTACAAATTTTCCTTGTCTTGTACCCGTACCAGTAATCACACTTGTAACTGTGCATCTTAGATCCTAAAAGATAACATGAGAAAATGAAATGACTTCCATTGTAAATAAATAGAGAGCTAGCTTCAGTTGAGGAATGAAAGAATATATGTAAATTTCTCAGGCATGCACAACAAAGAAAATGAGTGCAAGTGCTTGATGGTAGCTGGAGTGACGAGGACCAAGTTGCAGGCCTGAAAAAATTGGTTGAAATGGCTTTAGAAATGGACATAAACTGTTTCCTTAAGAGTGAAGATGGTCCCAAACACGAGCGAAAAGGAGAAAAAAATACTCATGTAGCAAACCCTAAAAATTTGGGAAATGCCACTAGTTAGCAGAACAAAGACTTTGTTGTTGTAAAGACCTTACATCATAAGAAGGGTATGTTTTGACACGTTGTTGTTGCTTAGAATATAGCGCCAGTCTGCCTATATCTATAATGTAGCTTTGTACTTTTAGTCCAATATTAGGCAGAAATCTTAGTTTGTAAATACCATTACAAGTTAGAAAAAAAAGGCTATATTCTTATGAAAATGTTAATGTGCTTCCCTTGGTTTTATAGTTTAGATATGCTTCTGTAGATTTTATTGTTTAGTTTGTTAATATTTTTATTTAATCAATTTATTGAGTTCCAAAATTACCTTTATATTGCAGAACTGGATACGTACAGGAGCAGGTAAATATTGGTTCTGGACCACCTGGATCAAAAGTTAGATGGTTCAGGTCGTCCAGTGATCAACCAAGATTCATACATACAATCACATTTGATAGTAAAGAAGACTCTCCAACACTTGTAATGGTTCACGGCTATGGTGCTTCTCAAGGCTTCTTCTTCCGGAACTATGATGCCCTAGCTAGTCATTTTCGAGTGATCGCTATTGATCAGCTTGGGTTAGTTGCGTAATTGCTGGAGAATTTTTCCTTAATAATGACTGTAATCTTTTACCGGGACTTTTATGTTTGAAGCTTCTTTCATTAAGATATTTAGGTTTCTGGAAATTAATCTTTTTGCAGAAATTTGAGGACCTTGCTTTTAAAATAAGAAATATTTTTAATGACCAGTGTTTTTAAACATGCATGCTGATGTATTATTTAGAAATTTCAATTGTGTATTATATTTTTGCCTAGGAGGTTGTATTTGCCGTGAGTTCGTGATATTTGGAAACAAATATGACAACGACTTTAAATAGCTTAAACTATAAAACTCTAATCGTCAAAGATCATAACGAAACATTAAATGACCATGAATACAAATAGTACCTATAAAATTTCAGGTTTGATATTAACAATATTATATTTCCCAACATGAAGAAGGCTAAGCCTTTCTTTATAATAAAAACTTTGCATGGAACCTAAGAAACTAGATCTAAATAACTGGATCCTAGACAAATCCTAAAGATTTTCCTCTATCAAGTAGATTTGGGCAAAAGGTTTCAACTAAAACATAAAAAGGTTATAATTAAAAGCCATCAAAATTCTTGAATCATAACCAACTTTGCTGACTTCATTTCCGACAAAAAATTTTCTTGTTTGGCAAATCTATATATTCATTAAGGTATTTGTTTTAAATTCATTCATACTACTTTAGTTCTCCATTAGTTGGAGAAAATTCAATCTCAAGTTTGAAAGGGAAAACTCTAGAACATTAAAATAAGTGATAAAAGTTGATGTTTCACGAGCATTGACGAAGTCAGTAGAATGAACCATAGAACTTGATTGTCATAAGCAAATGAGGATTTGGAATACATAATCACCTTTAGGATTGGAGCTTGGCCAAGAAGAGGATATCCAATAAATATTTTCCTTGTAGGATCAAAAGTTCAGTTCAAAGAATCCGTTAGTCAACTCCTTTGACTTCGACTTGGTTGTGACAGAGTTTTGTGATGGGTTGAATTTTTTTTGCAAGGTTTTACCTTGCTCAGACTAGATGCTGGTTCCGGGTTGGTTCTGGCTAAGGTTCAGGCTTAGACTCAGTGTTGGGCTCTTTTTTCTTATAGAGAACAAAGAAACTTATGTGACTAAAATTTCATCTTATTTTAAAATATTAATTTAAATTTGATGAATCAATTTCAAAATATTGACAACTATTTGTAGTGGTCAATTCACTACATTACAGTTAATAGATCAATGGCGTGCTAGGAGAAATAGGGGGAAAAGGATGGAAGAAAAAAAATGTAAGTCAGGGTAAATAAAGACTCAAAGTTTTTTTTATCCTCACATATTCCTGACATCCTCGAAGTACGATTCTGATCATTATTATCTCAATAATAGAGAAGAGGAAGGAAAAATTAGATTTATAATCACCATGCTCTTCCACTTCCTTAAAAGGAGAAGGCCTAGTTTGTCCATATAATGAAACCCTTTCTTGGATCCTAATTATTGGTCTAAACAATCAAAATAAAGATTTGTTGCCTATTTAATGAATCCTAGATAAATATAAATGATTTTCTTTTGTCAATCAGAATGATTCCATGTAGCTTAAAGTTCATGAAATATTCTTATCTAAACTAACCAAATAATCTAGAATCATAATTAGATCTATTTTTAATTTATTTCTAGAGCCTTTTTCCTTTTTATGATCCAAACTCGTTAACGACGTCATTCATGCATTCATCTTTTCATTAAACTGGTGCAATACTAACATTCTATTGCATCAGTGTTCTATTAAGTAGTGCTACGGGCAATGATACCCGGGTACTCTATCATGAAGCCATATCCGTAACCCAAACTTGATGTACCCTCGGATATATGAATACATTTCTTCAGACATGTACTCAATTATATGATATGTCTTAACTTAAAACACTTGTGATACACTTCTTCGACATATGCCATATACTTCACATTATTTCTTGAAACTTGTTACTTGTTGGACATGGGCCAGGTTTGTTTCGGTCCATATTCAAGTTCAATAACTATGATTTTAAAGGGTCATTTGGGTGTCTAGTTCAGCTATGATCCATTCCCAATTTATATTAATCAAAAGAATTAAAGAAACATGAAAATGTGATAGGAATTTTAATTCTAATAACACAAATTAAAAAAGAATAATGATTGCATGTAAATTATTAATTTTATTATATATATGTAGTCGTGTCCCTGTGTCCTACATTTTACAAATTTGTCATGTGTCATACCTCATACCCACACGGTTGCACATATACTGGTACTCGTACTCATTTCCATGCAACTTAGGTAGCATACTTCTTGCTGAGTAATCCATATTCAGATAGGTGCTAATCAACTTTCAAAAAGGGAGGGCAAAAAGATCAAGTTTCAGAGAGAAGATATTTTTTCTCCTATTAAGATATTTTTTCTCCTATTAAGATATGATTAGTATTAACCGAAGAGCCACATCAAGAAAAGAATTAGTATTATAGCTTGTGCAAGTTGTTAATATATTCTTCTAGCTACCTGTTCCAGTTAGGATGTTATCCTACATTTGATCTTTAGAGAAAACAAGTAATGATCAAATAGTTTTATGAGAACCAAGGGAATGCTTCCGTGGCAATGTTATTTGAAGGTTTTATGTGGAAAATATGAAAATCTGATGCATATTCTGAGTCCTACCCTTCATTATATTTAACTATATGTGGTAGTGGTTGGAGCCCAACTAGATCCTACTAATTCTTTCTAAGGAAGAGGATCTCACTATCCTCCTATCATTCTCTTGCAATTTGAATCTGATTTGAGCTTAAATATTAGTCTGGTATCTAACAAGAAAGTGTGAGCTTATTTATTGGCTCTCTAGTGCATAATCGTTCCTTCTTATCAGTTGTTCAAAACTCAGTCTCTTCACTTGGTTTTTCATCCTTGTCTTAACAATCGAAATTTGATGAAAGAAACTGTATTTTCTTTGTGTTGGCTAGGTTATACATGCCAAACAACTAGAATTGTTGAGCGATATTAAATGTTAGTAATATTTTCATTTTAGAATATCTCACTGAGAATATAAAGATCTTAATTTACATGAATTTTTGTTGTGACACTAATCAGCTGATATTAAACAAGATACTAGATCTCAATTAGTTTGGATGAGAGTTGAGCAACTTACAAAATGGTGATTCCACATCTTGCAATTATATGTCCTTTCCAGCAAAAATTACAAGGAATCCTGCCATAATGAAGATGTTTATGCTTCTTAGGCTGAATGTAGCATTAGAACTGTGTGTGAACTTTCCTAGTGAATTTAAAAGTTCTCAACATTTGAAATTTCTATCATTATTTTTTAAAACCCTAAATACATGGTTTTGTGCAAGTTTTATGTACTGTGTCTTGCGTATGATATGCACGTACATGGCGGTCCTAGTTGGTGGTATCCTATAATAATGTGCTTCTCTTAATTTTGTAATGTTACACTATTGATCCTATGATAGAGGTTCACATAGTTGTCATGTCGATATCTTACTTCTAATTGTGTTGTGTAATTTTGTTTGTTTATATTGTAGATATTATATTATTG